TGCCCCAACTCATACCTGTATTTCTTCTCCGTAGCCGTATTTATTGTCCCCTCTTCAGTGTAAGCGTCCCGAAAACTCATAATCATTCGCCTTTTTCACGACTCATTGTATAAGATAGAGGCATTGCCCAGAGTCATTATCCTGTTCAGGATTGATCGATCTGGCAAATGTGTGCAATGTGCATCATAGATCTATCAAGCATAAGCACGGGCAATTCATTCCTCATGAGAAGATAGAGAGGCCAGGTCCCGGATACTAAGCATTGCTTGACTGGAATTCATCCTCGACGTGAATCGTGCGCACTGAAAATGGGAGGAAAGGAGCTCTGCAATACAGTCGCCATCTTATTCTTACAAGAGAAGAATAATCCCCACACTGAGTGAGCATTTTTTCTCTTGAGGAGAGGAGAAACGACTCGCGTCCAGCTGGGGGGAACTGACGAAACGGTTGCCGGTCCTACCAGGTAGCGTAGGGCTGGCATCCCCCTCAACCTTCATCCCTGTGCTGAAACTCATCCGGGATGTCAGGAGAAATTAACCCACTCCGACGGCTCAACCGATCATCACAACGGGTCTGGCTCATTTCGTATCGCCTAGTGCAGGGACTCCCGAATGGCGGTCCTTGGACCGCTGAGGGATCCGAGGGGTCCCGGCTGCCGCTCCCGGGGGTTCAAGTAGTTCATGTCACGTTCCTTGGGGGAATATATTCGAAAGAGCTTGCAAGAATGTCGACTTGCGACAACGCGTCAGAATCCCTCACCACACTGAGGGCGTCTGTTCAATGAAGGAGTGGAAAATATTATCGTCTTGCGAAGCCACCGACTGCTACTCTCGGGATGACGTCGCGAGGGGTCCCGACCACAGTCGAGGACTATGGGTGGGGGTCCCGCGCTGGAAAGAAATCGGGAAGCGCTGGCCTAGTGAATCCGGCTCTAGACGGGTTCCATAGAGATCCGGGGAAAGTATCCTCGCGTGAAGGGATCCGCCTGGTGCACATCATTCTACTTATCCTAGAGAATCTTGCAAGCTACAACAAGTTGAATAATGTCCAGTAGGGCTTCTCGACGACTCACGATGACAGACAGGAGCGGCCACTTAATCAGATGAGGTGCTTTTTACCGACAAGATTCACAAGATTAGCTCTGGCCGGTGGCGGCAGTCTCGCTAACAGCATCTGCTATGGGACCGCTATCAGCGTGTAAATACGTACAACCACGAAGCCCGAAAGCAAGAAAACTGCGAAAGTGATCTGGGGGCGGATGATAGCAAAAATGCCTGAATATGTGCTCTGCGACGAAACAGTTCAGACCGGGACGGCGACAACGATGATGATTACGCCGACGTCGGAAACGACGACGGCGACGATGGCGGCGCTGGCAGCAGCAGCGGACCGAAAGACGACGCACCATATTCAAGAAGAGGGATCCTCTGATTTCATTCAAATGTTAACGAACTCATCGCTTTTCTTTCCAGGGAATCAGCTAAGTTGGCAGTGTGTTCGGGCCAGTCGTTCAGCCTCTGATCGCCGAACAGTCACACAACCGGCGACGAGAGCAGTAGAGGACTCCCAACGGAGTCGGGAGTGCGGACGGAGCGCGTCGGTGGAGAAGTAAGAGACGGTTGAGTTACGCTTATGCAAATAAGCTTAATAACTGCACCCGAGATATTTGTACTACATTGTTCGAGGCGTCGCTGGCTCCGGGCCGAAGCTCCGTACCGTCGTATTGCGGTCATGATTATACCGAGGAGGAAAACGACGACCCATTCTGCTCCCGTGAGATAAGGCCATGAGAGGAGAAATCTCCGGTAGAGTCAAGAATTCCTCATCGACGGGAAGATTATACGAGCTGAGGTGGACGCGTATCGTAGGTAAATGCTTATCGTATTGAGTCAGGACTCGCGGACCTCCTGCCAAAGTGATCGGGTCCGGAGACAATTTAGCTACTCGCGCCAGTGGGTTAATCGAGTGCGGGAAATATTTTATTTTGGGCTTCGCTGCCGACCATCTGGCGATGGAGGATATACATAGCGCACCGGGTACACGGATGCGACGATTCTGCTGGCGGCAAGTTTTGGAACGCAAAAGAGAAAGTAGCTTCCCCTAATCTCCCGTAATGCGGTTCCCCACATATTTTGGATTTTCCGAGGAGCCTGGTGAGCCATTCTTCTTCGTCACGAGCAGAGTCGAGTGAATCACCAAGAATCTCTCCATTGAAGAATGTTGACCGAACGGAAAGGCTTTCTTAAGAACTGCCCGAATGTCGGAAAAGTTCTCTTTCGATGTTTTACCACCGTAGGAGGAGTTTGCCATTGTCTGAGGTGTCGAGAGAATATTCCCGACGGCGAGCTACTTCAATCCATTCTGAGCACGATTCCGAATCCGGCAGTGAAGGCAGAGCCCCTCCGACTGTCCAACCAAATCGTCACAACATACGTGGTTCCCTCCTTCAAGCTCGAGTCCGTGTATTGTTCGGGCAGTTTCTAACCGAGAAGTCAGGTCTATGGTTCGGAGTCCGATGTCTGACTCTTGTCTCGTCCGCCGTCGTTCCGTCAGCATGATCGGCAAGCAGCGGTGGCGATCAACTCCGTAGAGTCAGCAGGTGGAGCTGCAAATAGTTCCCGATATTTTGGACTAGTAAATCTGACTCTGAGGAAGGTTTCCGCATGCGAACGTTTTTTTTCACTGTGACAATTCCGCTGGTGATTTTACGCGAACAGCCGCTCTCGAGAGCTGATTTCTTCAAAAATCTCACCTCGCTCGCAAGTTTGTCATAGCAGCACGTGAGAAGCTGATTCCGTTATTTTTCTCGATACATCCTCGCTGCTTCTCGCCTTAATACCCTCGAGTGACTAAAGTCCTCGTCGAAGGTTTTTCCAATCGACAAACTGGTTTGCGTCAATTTTTACGTCAGCAGCGCTGCTCATGTTAATGTCTTTGGGAAGTTCGGTGCCGCTTCCCTTCATGGTTCCAGCCCATCGACTGTTTCTATCATTCCGCCGACCGGCGTTTTTGTCCGCATACATTCTCCGTGTCCGCCCCTTCTCCGACTGTTCGTTGTTGATCTGCTTCCAGATCGGAATTCCTTTCTTGGTGGGTGTGGCGAAGCGGGCAGAGAATAGCGACTTTTGGAGTCTCCCGCGTCCCTCAGTTCGAAACCGTAGACCGTTCCCCCGTCGCACAAACATGTGTACGGGAACAGTCCCAAAGTCGAGCGTTTCGGAAGCATGACGTGTGACATTGTCCACGGCTACCGCAGGAGCTCCTGAGAGAAACGTCGCTCTCTCAGACGGCGCGTAACCCATATTTCCAAAATACTCTCCTCGCCGTATGCTAGTCAAACTTCGTCAAACAGTCCATACACTTGCAGCGTCGGCGCTTACGCTCATTGAATTATTCGGATCCCTCATCGACCTCGAGAATAAGAATCGGACCTGGGGGACCTCGAAATAATCTGCGAGCTGGCTTGTGTCGCGAGAGCACCCCGGGTCGTCGAAGATTCAAAAGTACGGACGGGCAAGGAGGAAATGGAATCTATCGGTGGAAAAAATCGGGGACGATGGCAACGAGAGAGTCTTCCAGAAAACTCCTTTTCGTTTGCGCAGAAGTCTTCCGAGAAGCATTTGGACAGTCCTTCGATCATCTCCGTCCGAGTCGAACGCGGAAGACGAGCAAAGAAAGAAAAACTGTCTTCCAAGCGACGTTGCTGTTGCTGCGTGGAAAAAATGGCGAGGCAAGCTAGTGTAACCACTTCTTGCCTGCCTTTGCGACTGCAGGGTCTTCATTGAATGAAGCCGCTGACTTGGAAACACGAGTTTCCACTGCTGAGCTATCGGGACGAAGGTGGAGGGAGTAGAGGAAAGCCTCGGGAGAAAATAGATGAATAGATAGCTACATAAAGGGAGGAAAAGTCGACTGAACTACCGCGACGACGTCGTCGTCGGCGGCGGCGGCGAGGGAGAACACGCTGAAATTGTGTTCAGAGAAGCGCATACAAGCGGCGCATTTGAGTGAGTCGCAACGCACATGCGGTTCGCTTGTCCATCTGCTCCCATGCGTGTGGGTCTTGATTCCCGGCCGCTCCGCGTGCGAGTCACAGAACTCATCGGTTGTTTCTCTTTGTGCTCGAATATCCATTCACCGTCTGCTCTGCTTGAACGCTGCGGATCCATATGCAGAGGGAACTCGCTGGACCGTGGCGAATCTCACAGGAATGTTTCAGCAAAAACATGCGTCACACCCCCTTAGTTCTCTTCGCTTATTCGCCATTGTCTCTGTTTGAACGGTCCGGCTTCGCTCATTCCCCCATCTGACGGTGTTCGGCACGCATTCATTTTCTTCTTTTTCTCCCTTCCCGCTGGATTATTCCTATGCAGCGATTCCTCGCTCCTTGCTCGGAGTTGCCCCGAGTCGATGCTCCCCACAGTCTGTTGTCCCTTCGTCTCTCGTTTCCTTTGGTTTGCGTCTACGGCGCTGAGCCCTCCCCATTAGCACTGGTTCGGTTTGTTAGGTCCTCGCTGACCCAGATTGCTTAGGGCAGCAGCTCCCCGACACAGGCTAGTGGGGCTCCGTGCCGTAGTTGGGACGGGAGAAGCGTCGGAGAAGATTCCACTCACAAACAAAAGCCTCCATTAGTACAGAGGCGTTGACGGAAACAGTAGCATGTTGAAGCAGGATGAAGCCAACTTGGGTCCCAAATCAGGCCGGTGGAGGCTGGACCTACTCTCCAACTCCGTCATTCATCACTGACTCGAGTTAGTGACCCGCGTAGTTCACCAGGTGACCATGCACATCGCACGCAAGCGCTCATGGATGATTTACTACCTCATCGTCATGGTTCCGATGAAGCGGGGGACCCCTGTTCAATCTGAGTTGTGGGAAATTGGGATCCTCCCCGAGGCAGGATCCGAGAAGTTTTCATCACACTGAGTTCTTCCGAAATTCGCGGGGTCACGGGAAAGAGGAATACGAAAAGGCATTTCTCGTACGAACGCAGTGTTTATACAGGTATCGAATCCGATGTCATCGCTCGATGAATAACATGAACATCATCTCGGGTCTCGACGAATATACTAGTAGGAGTCAGATAACTGCGGAAATCCTCAGACGCCCCCGGCTACAGAGACCTTATTCTAAGATCTTGAAAAAAAAACGTAACGACAATCGAGACTTGGTGAATGAATCGAGAGAATCGATTGACACCGGCACCCTCTTTGGGTTGTCGACTATTTGCCCATCACTAATTCGAACCACTGGCGGAGGGCTTGTCCAAGAACATTGGGTAGTCTGTCAACATTTTGGAGGATGATGTAGAATGGGAACGGGAAGGATTCCAAATATCTTGTTCTGATCGCTTTACCATTGTTGAAGTTCACCGACTGAATATTCAGTATCGACGCCTGGAACGAGAGACCAGCTATGAGAGCAGCGGAGCTTTCGTTGACAAGAAGAATGCGAATTTCGGTTCGAGAAACGCACGATTCGGACGCTGCGAAATTTTTCGCATCGAGCTCCAGTCCCTCGGCGCCTGTCAATGACATGCGATTCTTGAATTATGGCCGAGCCGAAACCCACCTTATTCTGCTCCGGGTTGTCGATGATGATGTACACTATGAAGATTCGGTTCTCCCGAGCTCTCTGGATGGTTGCATGAACCGCGTTTTTTCCCTCAGCGAAAATGTTCCGCCCGTCGGAAACAATGATCAATAATTGCGCGAAGTCTTTCTGCATGGTAGACCCTGTCGGGAGACGACAATCGTGACTGTGGTGAACGAGGAACGAGAACAAGGCAAACTGCCCCCCTCCCCCTTTCCCACCGAAAACCAGAAGCAAATTCTCAGAATGCATGAATATGGCGTGGTGGCTCGCGGAGCTCTCTGCGGGAATAGCCCGGGGGTACATACCTGACATGGAGGATCGACATCTTTCGAACATATCCGTGGCCAGCGAAACCAGCTTCGCGACCCGTGTCGCCTTCTGTGCGAATGTGAAATGTCGAGCGAGCTTTACCCCAGTGTCAGCTGAGATCGACTCTCCTAGAGGATGAACCAACGACACCTGGAAAATTCGACACGTGAATAGCTCACTTATCTTCCTCACAAGGTTGGCGCCCCATTGATGATTCTCGAACTCCGAGTGAACACCATGCTGAACTCACATCCTCTCCAAAGGACGCGACTCCGATGTCACCGACTTCGAGGAGACTTAGTGACTTCGTCAGCAGAACCATAGTATCGAAGGCTCTGTCTTTAGCGAAGGAGTCTGACATCGAGAGCGAATCGTCCATTGCGAGAAGGATCTGATACTCCCGTTTGTTGGGCTGGGTTCGCCTCAGCCATATCTTGTCCTTCCGGAACCCGCTGGCGACGTAATCCACAACCTGAAACGAGGTTACAGATTTTTGCCGTTCGAGGAACCGATTTCACTTCTCTTTCGACAACCGTTCCTGATCAAACACCTTCTCGTCAATACCTTTCGCATGTTGAGCCGTTTGCCTGTTCTGAAGTCTCCTCTGAGCTTCGCCACCTTCGTAGGTTCGAGAACGAGCCTCAATTCCTCGCACAGCTCTTGTACGAGTCGCTTCACCCTACATTCGGCCTGAGCCCAAGTCACCACTTCCGAAGGCACTCCGCTCAAATCATTCCATGTCGAGGCTTTGAAGTCGTCCAGGTCGTTCTGGGGGAATAAAATGAATACATCGGAATTCGCACTCAGTGTTTCGGCACCTTCTCTCGGAATCAATCTGGTGAGAACGGCTCATACAATATTTACCGCTTCGATGAACCGCTCGAGGGTGTGGACGGTGTTGTGCTCGGACTGATCTTCCACGAGCACCGTATGAGTAGCGATCCTCTCGCCCTCCTTAGGAACGACCTCCGTATTCTCCCCGTGTTCTCCCTTCGAAGATTTTGCGTCCTCTTTCCGACTCTGCTGTCGCTGACGATTCGGCATAGCCTGGGAAGAGATATCGGCTCAAAACCAGCTCGTAATCGGTGCCACAGCCGATATGTCGAATGGGTATTCAAGAAATTTTCTCTGCCTCACTTCTTTCCGCTCTGTCTCGTCGTCGTCAACATCCATGCTTTCGTCTTCATGGGGCGCAACATCCTCCATATCCGAATCCACATCTTCAGGATTTTCACCATCTGCTGCCATCTAGAATACATAGAGAACATCATTGAGACCGAGCCTGAGGCCAAGGGAATGTCCAGAGTCGGGACCCCGGTTCATTTCGACCTCGTCTCCTCGTTTTGATCGGCTTCGAATTCTCGGAAGATCGTACTCTGACCGAGAATGGGAGGATGGGTGGCTGGGCAGCTTCCCTTCCCATGACTCACATTCTGCGTTTTTTCGGCTTGATCGTCAGTAGCCATATCAGCAGCAACTTCCTCGTTCTCGGCATCGGCTTCAGACTCCGTCTGATGCTCGAACTTGTCGCTCTTTTCCTTTCCGCTCTGCTTCCTCTCAGACGCATCCGAGATGTCGCCCTCGACCGTCTTTGAATCTCTAGGTTTCTGCGGGACAGTCTTCCGATCCTTGGAAGATTTCTTCTTCTCGTTCTCTCGAGAGTTTCCCTCGTCGTTTACCGACTGATCCTGAGCCTTGTTCTTCCGTCCCGTGCTTCCAGAGTCCGGGGCTTGGCTCTGACCTTCGCCGGAACCTGGGAGAGGATAGACCGTGCTATGTAGAGGGAGAGCTTATCGTCAGGAGGATCTCCTGGGGGAACGAAATGCGCAGACTCCACGGCTTGCAGGATTCTATGCTCATGAACTTTTCAAAACTTACCGTCGATGTCATCGTTCGTTTGAGCGGCTTCCGTCAAATTCGGATTCTCGTCGAGCGCCGATTCAGCGGAGCTTTTCGCACCGTCCGCTTGTTCCACTTGAGGCTGGTTGTCATCATCTTTCGGTTTCGCCAGCTCCGGATGGCTCGCCGCCTCGTCTGGCTGGTCGGCCTCTTGATCCTGAACCATTTCCTCTTCATCGTCTTTCGCTTGTGCGTCTGCGTCGGGGGCGTTCTCCTCCTCCATGGCCTCTTCCTGGAGGTCCTCGGGCATCGCCTCGTCGGCAGGAACTTCGGTGTCCCCTTCTGCATCACTCCCGCCTTCTGCAAATCAGAGAAATATTTTTTCTTCGCCGATCGGTTCGAGTAGTGCAATCTCCGTCAGGAGTTCCATTCCGCTTCCAAGCTCACCATTTTCATCCTCGATAGCTCCAGCATCGTCGTCGCCGGAGCCCTCAGCGTTTTCGTCGTCTTCCATTTCCTGATCTGGTAACTCGAAATCCTCGACTTCATCTTCTTCGTCCAAGCCTTTATCCTTGTTGCTCTTGTACGGATCCTCTTTCTCGCCTTCATATTCATCGTCCATATCGTTGATCTTGCCTTCCTTATCGTCGTCTTCATCGGGTTTCTCTTTATCGTCAGTATCGCTCTGCTTTTCCTTTTTCTCAGTTTCTTTGGCACGATCGTCTTTCGCGACAACCTGGCTCTCCTCCTCAATTTCCTCACCCCCCTGTGCGTCATCGTCGGAGTCCATGTCTTGGGATTCGTCTTGATCTTTGTCCCACATTTCTTTATCGAGATCGAAAGGATCGACGTCGTCGACATCTCCCATCTGTTCGTCGAGATCGTCCTCCTTATCATCGTCTTCGCGATCTTGATCCTCCTGCTCCTCTTCATCCTGTTCCTTCTCATCCGGTCCCTGAGCCTCAGCATCGAAGTCTTCGGTCATCTCGATAGCGTCCTTCTCGTCCTCGATATCTCTCTGGTCGTCGTCCTTCTTCTCCTCTTCCTTTTCTTTTCCCGCGTGGTGAGTATCTTCGAGCTGATCTTCGCAGTCAACCTTGTCCGACCTGTCTTTCTGGCCCTCGCCGTCTCCCAAACCGCCATCCTCGATTTCTTGGAGCTGGGAGCCACTTTCCTTGGTGAGTTCATCGCGGAATTCCTCCGGAATGCAGAAGCCCTTCCGGGTCAGAGTGACGCTGACCGACAGAACCATGAAGAGCAGCTTCAGTTTCGCTCGTTGTGATTTCAGGGTGCAGGCAACGAAATACTCGAGATGACTCGAGAAGTTCTTCATGAATGCTACGAACGCCAGCAGATTCCCGGACGGAATTTCGTTCTTGAGAGATTTCAACCGCTTCTCAACTTGCTCGTAGGATCTGAGAACTCCCTCGATGTCGAGACTCGAGAACACCTTGCGCCGCTCGCTCTCGAGGACTTTTATCGAGTCGTTTATGAGATCTTCGTCTTCGAGTTCGGCTTCATTCTCGAAAGTCTTGTGGAGACTCTGAACAGAATGGAGGGTCTTCTTCAAGCATCTTTTTAGCGACTTTCCGAGCTTACTCACTTCGGAGTCCACGCTCGACGGACAACCCGAATCCCCATTCATCGCATCGATTCGGATCACATGACGATCGATTTCTTCCTGGAGCTCGTAGAAGGGTTCCGTAATGTGATTCCTCTGTCGATCCCTTTCCAACAAGCCGATGGCCTGCTCGATATCCCCTCGAATAATTTTGAGCTGATCCGCTGTTTCCTCAATAGTTTTGAGATCGCTCCCGGAAAGGGGTGCTTGCTCCAATGCGTCCAAAGCTCGCAGATTCATATTAACGGTTTGAAGCAGTTTCGAGAAAGCGGTGAGAGCCTCTCCTCCTCCGCTCCCCCGAGTCGGCGTCTGGTCACGGCCAACATCGATCGTAGGTGAGGTTTCCAAAAGAACAGTGTATTGATTGAGACACGAAGACAATTTGAACAAGACCGAACGCAGCTCGTTCTTTTTCCGCCAATTCTTATCTTGTTCCGGGATTGTCCCCGACGAGACGACGTGTTTGAGGCTCGTCAATTTCTTACGTAATTTGCGAGAAGCTTGACAGACATCGTGGATCTCATCCAGGTCGATCGAAATCGTTTCCAAAAGGTGAGCTCCGAATCCTTGCAGCCGCTCGATCATGTAGAGTTCGAGCTCCTTGCTTGGTGATTGCATCGCTTTCTGGAGCTCCCTGTACTTTTGAGCACTTCGCACGAAATACCGCTCAATGTCATCGACAAGATGAGCGACCGCGGTGGGCACTTCTGAACTCCGCAAGAGCTTCGTTGACAGTAATTCTGAGAAGTTCGACTTCTGATAGAACACCACACCCTTACGGTAAGAAACACCGCACTTGAGCAGTTCGCGGAACAGTTCCGAGAGCATTTTCTTTTTACGTTGCAAGAGATTCTTCGCCTTGCGCTTCGCGTTCTTGTCGTCATGACGGATTTGTTTCTCCGTTTCTTTCGCAAACTTGCTGACTCCGTCAGCGATATCCCCGGCGAGCTCGTCGAGGAGGTTTGAGATGGATTGCACGTGGAGACGCCGCGACACTTGTTGAAGATAATTCCGCGACAGTCTGTGCACCCTCGGAATGTCGGATATGGGATCGGGGTCTTGTACCTCGACCTGTATCGAGAAAAGTTGGTGTCAATACAAGATCTTGCTCGCAAGAGAAATTTCTGAGAATTTCGGCTGGGAACTCACCCTGAGGGGAACAGTCTTGATGTGATAATTCTTGATATCGAACTCGAATTCGGTAGCGATCGGAACCTTGCGCTTCTTCCCTCGTTTCTTGACGACAGGACGTGCTGGGGGATCATCCTCGAGCTCCTGCTCGAGATAGCTGGCGGAGGGCTCAGCCAGCACTTTCTCAAAGTTTTTCAAACAACCGTGGAGTTTCTTGTGACTCTTGTCAGCTGACTGGAAGACGAGGTTGCCGTGAGAAATCTTGTTCCATCCCCTGCGGGGCAGGCAAGCCCTGCCCCAAAACACCGGAAACCCTCGACTTCGGAGAGATGATAAGCTTATCTCCTAGGGGCATACGAACCTGTTGCACAGCGAGGAAACTCGTGTCTTTGTAACGGACGATTTTGATGAAGTCCTTGATCTCCTTATCTATCTCTGCCTTCGTTGACTCGATTTTGGCCGAGATCGCGGGAAGGAATTGCCTTTAAAAAGCATACGGAACGTCATAAGCGACGGTCAACGATATCGATTTTCAGCTGGCTTTCCCCAGCGAAGTTCTCGGCTTACCGGTAGAAAGCGTAGGCATTCAGAATGAGATTGTGGATTCGCTCGTCATCAGGAGAGTTCCGTAGCTTCACATATGTCGCCAAGTCGAACAACATTTGAAGTTTGTGCTCGTAGTCGCCGACCGTGGTTGTCACTTCCATCAGGCTCACCAGCGCCGATATAAGCTGTGGATAGGGACAACAATGACAATTAAAAATATGGATAATATTCACAGTTCATGAATATCAATTATAATTCATGAATATCAATTATAACTCATGAATATCAATTATAATTCATGAATATCAATTATAAGTCATGAATGTCAATTACAATTCATGAATATCAATTATAAGTAATTATTATAAGTCATGAATATCAATTATGATTCATGAATATCAATTATAATTCATGAATATCAATCATAATTCATGAATATCAATTATAATTCATGAATATCAATCATAATTCATGAATATCAATTATAATTCATGAATATCAATTGTAATTCATGAATATCAATTATAATTCATGAATATCGGTTTGATTCGTCGCCGAGTGAGGTTTTCTACATGACGCATCGACACTCACCTCTCTGACCGAGGTCCTGATCGTTTCGTGGTCACCGTCGAAGACCGATGCGGATTTGATTGTTCTGCTCTCCTCCGACAGCGCGTGCTGGAGCCGGAACCAGAACTTCGTAGCTCCGATCTTTCGTTTTTCGACTGCTGCTTCGAGTAGGCCAGACCAGCTCTGCAGCTCGAGCTTCCTCCAAGACGTTATCAGCTGCGCCAAGCTTTCCGTTTCAGCCGCCATCTTGATGCCCCGATGAGCGTTCTTGTTCCACTCTTCCAGTTCGGCGAGTAATTTCATCAGCCCAGTGAGGACCTTCATCAGCGATGACGTCACCGGCAGACTGAGGACACGATAGCTCACCCGAAGCGTCTGAACTAGACCGTGGTGATTCTCGAAGTCACCCAAGAGCTCCTTGCAGTGGTTCACGATCTGATGAACCACCGGCTGACATTTGACCAGCTCAGAAATATTCGAATCGTTGTAGAAGTCTCTGAGAGCGCTGCTGTGGCGTAGCCTCGATTTCGCGAAAGCTGCCAATTTCTCCTCGTCTCCCCTGATGGTCCATCCGGTGTACGTTGCTGCGAGAAGATGCGACGGGTAGCAGAGATCGTCCACTCGCATGCTGAGGTTCGTTCTGAAGTCGGGAAGCAATTCCTGGAACAAGCGGAATCTCTCCATCAATGCGGATACGACGTCCGAAGGACCCGCGGGGAGGCTCATCTTCGCCGAAGCTACGATATCCAGGAACACTCGATGCACGAAGGTGAGATCGTCATCCGTAAATTTCCTGAAATCGGTGTCTTCAACGATCGTGGGTTTCTCCACCCGCTTGTCTTTGTTCAGGAAATCCCGATCGTCGGCGATGTCCTCGTAGACTTCTTCGAAACTCGGGAACATGGCGGCGACGGCTGCCGCGTCGAGCACCTCGTCGCGTTCTTCTCCTTCGAAGTTGATCGTTCGGATTTCGTAGAGCGAATCCTTCGTCAGTGCTCGCTCGGCTTCCTGCTCGACGTATTCGACGTATTGACTGCTGAACCAGCCGAGGATACGGTCTGCTCTCTTCAGAAGTTTCTCTTGATTCGTCGAAGACGTTCGAATCGCATCAAGTATCTCCAGTAGTTCAGCTCTGCATTCTCGCATCTTGAGATTCCATTGAAGTTTCAAATCTTCTTCCGGTGTTCCTCTTTTGCTCGGCCTCACAGAAACCAATTGATTGAGCGAAGCGGTAGGAGCCTCTGCCAGGCACGACGCAAAGCGAGGGAAACGGATCAGATCTCCGAGGTTCCCGTGAATTTTCTCACACTGTTTGAAATGATAGAGCGATTCGAAAGCGACCACGAGTTGAACTGCACCGAAAAGGAACGCCGTCGTTATATCCCTATACAGAGGGAAAGACCGGCGAATTCGAGAAATGAATTGTTTCTGATTCGTGAGCCACGTATCGAGCTGACCTCCGATGTCCTCATCCTTGAGAATAGCCTCCCAGAAGTGCAGGACCTTAGCTGGGCTGGCTACGTTCTCGACGTAATTCTGCGCCGCCTTCGCCATCTCGCCGTATTGACTAACTTCGGGCCGATAGGCGGATCTTCCGCTCAGGTCTCGAACTTTGTCCGCGATTTCGTCGCAGGTCCGAGCATTCGGAGAATGCATGGGGTGTTCGTCCAGAACTTCCGACCCCGTTCGCCTTCTCTGTAGCCAAACTCTCATCTCCAGTTCTTCGGTGAGATGTCGTCTCTCGGACGATAGATAATTCTTCTTCAGAAGAACCTTCTCGAAGGGATCCATCGTATCGTAAGGCGTGAAGAGCAGAAGGAGGAAATGGGAGACCCGGATTTGGTATCGCAGTTCTTCAAGCTCGAGTGATTCATCGCCAGAATCGATTGCGACGGATGCTGCCTCGGCCTCTGAAAATGCAGCTTGGAGCTGCTTAGTCAGGGAGTTTCTATTTTCCGTGACAACTGGTCGAACGCGTTGGAAGACTTCTGCAAGAGTCCGCAGCAGCTTAGCGTTGAGTTTCGAGTCGACAGAAGCCTGGTTCCAGAGCAGACGACGGATTTCTTCCAGCTCGGAGAGCTTCGTTTGCGAGTAGTCGAGGTGTAAATTGGCGGCGTTCGTCTCGGAATCCACGAGAGATCCTAAACAGTTGACAATTGCCGCAGAGTTGAAAACCAGAGCACTGGAATGATCCAAGCGCTCGAGCTCCTGGACGTTGAAGTAATCCTTGGCGGAGTCGAGCGTCAGGAGAATGTGCGGAGGACGCCACTCGAGACTCGATTGAAGACCGCTGAGACAATTCCAGCTCGCTTGAGCCAAATCGATGAACTGGGACATGAACTCGGGTCCGAGGTGTTCGATCTCGGCCATGTCAGTCCTCAGTTTCAGAACATCTCTCAAAGGCCGCAGATGCTTCTGGAGCTCTTGTTCGTGGTTGTAGGGCACGCGATGTACGTAGTTCTCATCGTACCTCTGGAGGTCCTTGAGGAACTCCTCGAGAAGCCCCTCGAATTCGACCAGGGCACTCAGTTGACTGGTCGTTATGCTCCCCACCTCTAGGAGATCGTGCGTTATGCAATCAACGGAGGGCGCGATGGGCGCCGTGATTTTTTCCAATTCAGACACGGCGCAAGTGACCACCGCTAGACCTTCGTCGCTCAACTGTGAGGACATCTGTGCGACGGCTTTGTCGGCTCGCGAACGAAGGGAGACAGCTCGTCGGAAAAGCTCGGCGGCTTCCTTACTTTTGAAAACCCTCGCGGTTCCGACTGCCTGAACCGCACGCTTGCGAATTTTCCTCGCCCTGCTGAACAACGCGGGCACGCATCTTTCCAGCTGATCGGTGAGCTCCGTGAGCAACTTGGCGGTACTGGGTCCCGCAGCTTGCCGCATTCGCTTGATCGTCCACATAAAAGCGATTGCGATGCGTCGGATGTCTAAGTCGACGTTCCTGATCGGAAGATGGACGCTCTCTCGGTACCGCCAGATCGCATATAATGATCTCTTGGCCGCGAAAAGCTGTTCGTCGCTGATATGACTCCCGGTGAGCTCTTCGAAGAACTTATCGACAACTTCGAGTAATTTCGGCAATTGCCGGACCATGATGTGAGGATGAAGGCTCGGGTTCTTCTCCGAAATACTGAGATACGTTTCGTAATCTTGTTTAGCGTCGGGAACTCCGTGAAGATTCTCAGGCTGGAGATAAGTGTTAGCAGAGACAACGTGCAGCAATTTGAGCGCGAACGTGTTTGCCATCGGATCCGTGAGCTCGTTCACTACACGCTGACTCAAGTCATAGTTCAAACGAGGATCGATTGGAGTATATTTCCCAAGATTGTGCAGACGATCCTTCAAAAAGTACTCTATCGATGAACGTATCGCTAGTCGCAGAGGTTCGGGCTCAATCGCGTCGAATTTCGACGGTATATCCACCCTACGGATATTTTCACAAAACAACTGGACCGCCGTTGCCAGCTTGACGAGCTGAAGTTCTCTATCATCTGTCTGCGATCGATCGACCAGTCTCATGATGGCAGCGTCCTCGAAATGCTCGGCCTGTTCGGACCAGTACACGAAATTCGCGACGGAAGCCGTCTCTTGGGATCCACTCAAACGTCCAATTGAGGAATAGTGAATTTCTAGCTGTTGAAGAGCGTCCCGTACAATGAGCTCTACGTCGACTTCGCCGTTCACTGAACTCTCGAGGGTGGGCAGCAGATAATTCCGCAACGCCTCGACGGCCTGTGCCCCGCGACCGGCTTCGTCTTCCATGTATTCCACCGCATCGAGAATCGAGCCGATCAAACTCTTCGAACGGAACGACTTCAGTTGTGAGTAGATGAGCCGTAGGCTCTCCACAACGCGTTTGTCGAGACAACCTTTGGCCTCTACGAGTGCTTCAAAATCGTGCGCGTCGATCGTCTCGTCTAGGGGAAGCACATAAATTTCATGACCCCGGTTTCGCATGGCCCTGGATATCTCCCCGTGTTTGGGGTTCATCGTCATGATGAGACGGAAATCCGCATGAGGCCGCAGCGTTCGAAGAACCCCATTCTGGACACCTGTTGAGGGAAGCGAGATTTTTTTTGTAGATCATAGTGGATTGGTGCGAAGGTGCGTCGATGACCATTCGAATGATGAGTTATGAATCTCATGAGGGGATTGTGCTTCTAAGTAAGTATATTCGCTCCGATTGGATCAGGCAAATGGTTTCCCTCTTTTGAGCAAATACGAACCTTGTTCCGTGATACTCAAAGAGCCGTTCTTTTCCAGCAAACTGTTGAGTCGATCGAGCACGGCAGGAGCGCAGAAGTTCACGTTCTCAGCCAGAACCCATTGTCCTCTTTGGATGGCCTTGACCAGCGTGGAGTCACACCACGAAAAATTCCCTCTTGCGGAAAGCGAGGAGTATTTTGCGGCTAGCTCGTCTAGTTGCCGGCTGATCTGCGAGCAACCCCACGCTTGGAGATTTTGCCTAATGAAAGCGATCTGAGAGAGAAGGACTGAGTAGTAGTCGAAGCACTGAGTAGTAGTCACCGGAACTCAGCATAGACTCCGACTCACAGTCGGCTGACCGGACGATCGAATTCTCGAGAAGCAAGGCTCACCTTAGACAGAAATTTATTTGGGGCAGCGACATCGCGAGGCAAAAGCTCGTCGTTCTGAAGGATGTGCCAACTCTTTGATATTTCTCGGATTTGCGAGGAATTTTTTCGACTGCGGATGGCAGACCTCGCTTTTTCGCAGCACTCATCGACTACTGCGGCCAAGTCTCGTTCCAGATCCATCTGTGGGAAATAAAGGATGAACGTGTCGATCCGCGCTCGGCTCCTCGTGAATAACAGCTCACGGATATTCTCTGTGGCCGGAGCAATGATTCAGATTACCTGTTCGAAACCGCCTAGGAGTTCGATAGTATCCATTTCGGCCGTGATTGGGAGTGAGACAAGTTTCTGGCCCGCGAGCGCTGCGATCTGGCGTATGATGGATGTCTTCCCGCTCCCACTCTCTCCTACGACGATGCACATCATACCCTGATATAGATACTCAGGATTAATTGGGGGGTGAGAGCGTAAGTCTCGAGAAGGAGAGATCGAAATGCAACATCGATTGAAAACGCAATTCTACTTACCTGGTTGAGACATGAAACGACGCTTTGCATTGTTCGTCGTTGCGCGTGTAGCAGCCGGAGCTTCCCCGTTTCGGCTGAGGGGTACTCGAAGCTTTTGTCACTCCGAACGCGATCAAGGAAAACTTCGCCGATTTGAACATAATCGCTCGTGATGCTCAATCTGGGACATCTTCGATCGCTTTCCACGCCGAACGCCTCATCGACGAGTTCCGAAACTCGATCTTTATCGTGCCGACTGCGCATGCGGTCTCCGTACACAAAATGTGCGAGGTTGGAGAAGCGCTTCGCATCAAGTTCCGGGAGGCAAATTTTTTCAGCGCCGAAATTCCCGAATTGCCGGAGTGCGCCACACGGCTGATTCGTCACCACCAGTTCGGCCCAACGGCAAAGATCTCTGAGATTGAATTCCCATGGCGATCCACTGTGTCCCCACAGTCCCTGCTCGACCTCCCGGGTGATGATTGAGTTTAATTTCACCATTTTCTCGATTAGATCTCCATCGATATTGGGGAATGAAGCCTCAAGAATCCTGTAGAGATCACGATCACTCAGAGGCTCAACGTGGACCTGGGAAAAGGTGGAAGAATCCAATCAATTGCTCGGGCGCATGGTACCTCGATATGACGGACACAGAAAATTTTTGTTGAGCCATCCTTGAATTCCTCTACCTGGGTGAACCTATTCAGAAAAGACTTCGGCAGGCCCTTCCTGCCGCCACCCTGTCTCTGGGGATTCTGGCATGCGAAAATTTCCGTGCACCCTTGTGCGACTTTGAATGATTGATTCAGCTCTGGGATGAAGACTTCCCCCCGGTGATCCAAACACGCGTTTAAACCCTCGAGAACGGATTGAGACGCCAGGTTCAGCTGCAGGGGAGATGGGCAGACGCCCGAGTTATCTTCAGTTTCGATGAGCGGGGAGCGATGGGAGCCTCCTGCTCGGTTTGATCTCTCGTCGAGGAACTCCAGAAGGACTCACCTCATCCAGAAGAATCCAATGACCCATTTTCAGAGCTCGCAGGAAAGGACCGTCCCTCCATTCGAAGTGACCCCCCGAACCCCCTTCGATGGGGAGATCCGCGCCGAAGAGGTCACTGATATCAGTTTGTTCGGAGAGATTGATCCTGGTGATCTGGTGAAGTCTCAATCAATCAGAAGCGAATCTAGGATTCGGGATCCCGAATATTCGACGAATAAATCCCGGAGATATGATCAGACACTCATTCGATCCTCACCTCGACCCCGCATTCTTCTGCGAGAGCCATCACGAGACTCGTTTTCCCGACGCCGGGAGAGCCCTCCAGGAGCAAAGGACGCCCGAGACCCAGACCTCGAACGAGGCGCATCAAGTTATCACGAGTGGTTTGAACCGAGAAGTGGAACGTCTGAGGTCTTCCTGCCTCGACGGGGACCCTCCTCGTTAGTCTGTAGGGGACGACGCAGATGCTTTCCGGATCGAAGTAGACTCCGATGCAACGATCGCCAGGAACGATGACGTCGAAACTCAGAACCATTTCCGTCAAACACTGAAATCGAAGAAGGTTCTCGCTTGCTCCTAGCGTCATGGTTTTCTCGAACTATTGCGGGCAATCCATCAAAAATCGAATTCCAACGAACCTCATAGCCTTTCCGACGAATATCCCGAATCTCGTCTCGCCGCTCGGACGAGCTCACCCCAGCTCCGATTGGATCCAAAAATATCATAACGCCTCCGTGAACGAAGGCGGTTCTGATACCGAGTAGACTAGAATATGTATTCACGAATTTGACCCAAGCCATGATGTCTCGGAGGGAAACTACGCTCTTCACTCCGAATTCTCCTCCGTGAATGAGTCGAGCGAAGGAACAAATATTCCTCGCAACACTTTCGTGTCCTTCAATCTTCACGAGATTATTCTTCACCACATCGATAACATCTGGATCGTCGGGATCGAATGGACACCAAATTTCAGTGAATCGATTCCTGAGCGCTGGGGAGAGCTCTTTCTTGCCGAAGTCCCCACCAGGGTTCATGGTCGCCGCGAACCAGAAACCTTCAGTAGCGGTGAAGGATTCGCCCTCGCCTGGAATCATTCCAATCATGAGCTCTCTCCGCCTCACTGACCGATCATTGAGCATCGGCGCTTGGATCTCCCCTGCTAGGAACGGGGAAACGCAACAAACCTTTTTCAGCGAGGAAAATCGTTTTCTCGGCCTCCAGCAGCGAGTTCAGTCGTTCGAGAACCGAGTCGTCGGAGAGAGAGATTTCGTCGGCGAGGAAGAAGTCTCCGGAATGCATCGCTTTCACCAGAGGTCCATCGGTCCACTCAAATAATCTGTTGGAAGAATTCGGTAAGTCGAGCGACGTAGAGAGAATCACGTTTCCATGCAGCCTCAAAACCTGCCTTCCATCCTGGCGAGAGTCCCGACAGGGTCGTAGTCCGCCGAGAAAATCAGAGGCCTCGCTGTGCTGGTGACAGCTGACAGTGTGAAGCTGTTTGTGGAGGATCTTCGCGAAGAGTTGTACGATCGTCGTCTTCCCAGATCCAGTCTCACCGACGATTAACACCGGTTCATCAAATTGTAGAGCTTGACCGACAAGGATCGCCAGCCTACGCATTTGTTGAGTCAGCACCTTGAACGACACACTCCCCAACATTAGGAACTTCGATCGATCCGGATCTTCGCCATTGAGAGCGCGAAGAAATCGCTTCAGGGCGTCGAAGCGCTTTGGGAAGGGGATCGAAGACACGGAGGGCCCACTCCGGGCCCGCATTCCACCCTAAACAAGGGACGAGTCCGTCGCATTTTTCTATGCGTGCCCTCCGCCCCCCCCCCCCATCGCTCCCACCGGAAGATGGTTCGGCTACTGTCTCCCTGAGTTCGAGGGCCATCAAACATATTCAAATGATTACCAAATGGCGTAAATCCCCTTTTTGTGCGTCCGAAAAGTGGTGCGACCAATGCTCCAGCATGTTGCGAATTTTCTTGGTGGTTTCCGACGAATTCCAGATGGACTCAGGTTTGACGTCGCGCTTGAATGCTTTCTTCAAAGCTCGAATGATGTGCTCCTCGTCTTCCGCTTTCCGAACACGGCCGGCTAAGAGCATGTAGCTGGAAGACGAAGTCGATTGAAGCTCAAACATAAGAAGGAGTCATTGCCATGATCACTCATGAGCTTCTCACGCCGGTGAAACTCAACAAGGAGGCTTGCGGAACTCGTCTTACCCTTCTTCGGCGAGCAACTGATCCCAATCTCGGAAACCTTCATTATTTATCCGACGGTGTCTCTCAGCCCATTTGAATAGATCTCTCAGAGTGATGAAACCTTCTTTCCCTGAAAACACTCCTGACCCCTTGCGCACAAGTTGCAACTCGACCATGACTTCCACCATTTTAGCTGAATGAGTGGGAGACAGCTCGCACTTCTCGCTGAGAATTTGTTTCAGCTCATCTCGGGGTAGCTCGTTGAAATGCAATTCAATGAATCGGTTCCTGTGGATCGGAAGCGAGAGATTGGTCAGGGAGCTCGCCCAGTTCGAGGACCCACATCTAGGCCTGTTGCTCGTGATAGCCTGACTCAATCGCTCGTTCAGGAATTACATCGGGATACTCAATCCCGGGCATGATTCCGCAGAAATAGAAAGGAAGATGGCTCATTCTTGCCTTGATTTTTTTGCTTATGTCCGAAAAGTATACCTGAAAGCGCGGGAGAGTATTTTGCGGCCAGCATAAGTCCCGGGCGGGTTCTGCGTGGCAAACACGATGAAGTTCTCGTGGGCTTCGATCTCGGTTTGCGTTTCCGGAATGAACAATTTTCGATTGTCGTCGAGAACTCTATTCAGCGCCTCCAAGATTTCAGAGCAGGCGAGGTTCAACTCGTCGAGGATGATCCAATAACCTTTACGCATTGCCTCGACGAGGATTCCTTCCTTGAAAACTAGTGCCCCGTCAGTATCAGTCAGATACTGACCCACATACTCGGCAATGTCGGTGTGCTCATGATTATTGACTCGAACGCATTTGTTGCCGGTGCACTTCGCCATGAATGAAATCATGCTGGTCTTTCCTGAAAAAACAAGTCCCATGATATCGACTGTCTCAATTGGACGGCAAAGCTCAGTACCAAACAAAGCGAAGTCTAAACTTTCCCACCAACAGGGAATGCCACCGTGCGAATGGGAAGACTTCCCCACCTCGCGAGTCAGAACTTACCAAGGGACGTTCCGCCCTGTAGCAATATTGGATGTCGTCTAGCGCTGACAGCTCGAGACAAATCCTTCAGATTCTTCAGAACTGTAGGTGTCAGAATATAGTCGCTCGGCGTCGTGACCTCTTGGTCCCCTCGAGGAACCCAGTAGCCTTGGAAATGGACGAACTTGCCGGTCGTCGGGGACCGCATCTGTTCAGCTGATGGTGCAGCAAGAGGGAGACAGGTTATATTCCTTCATTCTAGACTCACTACGGATTCTACCCGATCATGGTCAGAGAGTCGAAGCTCCGGCTCAACAGAGGACATCGGAAAAGGTCTCACCCAACAGAGATGCGGCATTTTTGCCCAAAACAGCCGCAGTAATTGCATTTTCCACAACGAGATGCGACGCGGCGTCCACTTGTGTCAGAAAACTGAGACCGAACCCTTCATAGACACTCCGCGGCGCCGAGTTCCCTTCCTGGGGAGTAATGGGACTCATGAAAGCTTAGCCCCTACGGTGATCAATGATCATGCTCGTGCATTTCAGGACGAGAAGTCATCCATACTTGAGTTTTTTCTGCTGCGAATCGCAACGCCCGGCAGAAGCTCCGCAGGCAGAAGTGAGGCCGGTGACCTGTTGCGTCGAACAGATTTTCTTTGGAGAGCTTCTTCAGCAGAGTGAAGAGTTCCACACTCTTCCCGACTATGGCTGAGCTGTGTCCCTTCAAATACCTGAATTGAAGAAAGCCGTCAATTTACGGAGGCTCCGACCGAATCAACAGTTTCTGATTAAACCTTCACTTTCGGGAGCAGGTCATTAAACACTGTTAAAACCGATTGTTCTTCTCTAGCAAGGAGAAGGGTACACTCTCGTCTCGATACGAGACACAGTCGATATTTCGATAATAGTGTTTTCCTCTAGGGGATTTCGAGTTGGAATCTAGGAAGAATATAAACTCACTGGTGCGTCAATATGTTCAGGTCTGGTACACTTGAAATCTCGTCGAAGTACAGCTCTGTGAAGCGGTTTCTGACACCGGCCGGCAGATCTCGTTTACCGACGTCAGTTGCAGGGTTCATGCACGCGAATATCCGGAACCCAGGATGGACATTTATTGGCTCTAGATCACCTCTTTCCTGCATGGAAACGGTTCAGTATCTCGGGCACGCCTCCGTGGAGCATTGATATCGAGATCGAAATCCTCGCATGATACCGTGCTGAAGGCGGAACCGACAGGTGTATATACCAACTAACCTGAACGATCAGCTGTTGACCATCTAGAACGGACGCCAGACACTCCAGCATCTCGGGCTCAGCCAAATTTATCTCGTCAAGCAAGATCCAATCGCCATTCCTCATCGAAGTGACCAGGATGCCCTCGATGAAAGCGAACGTCATCGGATCCTTGTTTTCGGAGCTCTCGATCTGAGCTGACATCGCGAGAGCGCGAGATTCCAAGCTCTGCAGTTTCCCTCCCCAATCGGCCTCGACATTTATCTGTCCATCTCTGGAGGCGACGTACATGTTCCTGGAGGTTTTCGCTACCGAATCAGCTACGCTCTTGTAGCTTTTAGCGGCAAGCTTTATTCTTAAACATTCCAGATAGGAGATGTTCGCTTGCAACAGCTTGGACCTGCAGGAAATAGAGTCGTGAGGAAGTCGGTCACGGATGGGACCCGGATTGAATTCGGTTCAGATGGAAAATCGCTCTCACCGAATGCTCAATAGGTCGTGCAATTCGTCAATGAGTTTTGCGACGGATCTTCGTAGGGGAACAGGCTTGAAGCCCCCAACAAGATCCACCATATCTGTCTGCTGACTGAGATTTATCACTCTCAGCTGATAGTTTGCCAGTTGCGCGAGATGTTGTACGACAGTTGTTTTTCCTGGGAAAAGTTTGGATATCAACGACAATCCTCTCGGGTGAGGACCATACTGTTCATAATTGAATTCTCCTTCGGAAAAGAAGGAGCGCGATCCTCAGTTCGAACGAATCCTCCGACTCACCTGTTCCGGTTTCCCCGACGAGTAGCACGGGCTCCCGGAAATGCACACAGCGTGCGATTTTCTCGAGCATCACCAGAGAAACTCTAGTTTGGGCGAACTGATCACAGGATTTCCTCACAGCTGCATCGTAAGCGCTCAGTGATCGCTTATTCACGACACAACGCCCTGGAAGCGAATCGGAATTGAAATCCGTGAGTCCGAAGATCGACTCTAATAGAGCGAGCCATGGTGGCCTTCGTTCCCGTTTTCGTACGTTAGTGGACTCACCTATGGTTAGCGAGGAAGATTGGCGCTCTCCCGCACTGATCTGCGGCTTCCTTTCAAGGAGTTCGTCTTCGATCTCAGGCGCTACAAGGTTGAATCTTGGGCCGATCTCGGTCTTCGCAATTGACATCCGCAAGTCCGGATAGGGTATGTACGAAGCCAGGCAATCCATCGCGTCAACGAACATCTTCAATCGGTCCGTATCAGAGCCCCTGAGAAAGTTTTAAATCATGAAACCAATCTAGCTCCAGAGCGTGTCGCGGATCGTCGTGCCGAGGATCACTGAGGTTGGGCGATGTTTCATGACTGCGAGTCAGTACTGTAGGACGGTCAGCGTAAAAACTCACGTGACACTTTTGGCGTATCTCGAAATTAGCTTGACGAGATCTCGGAGTGATATCACTCGTTTACATTGCGGTTCTTTGAACAGACGATCTTGGACTCTGCGGAACAACTCGATCATTCGGGGCACGAACATTTCGAGGCTCCGACAACGCTCCACCAGGATCTGCTGGATCTCCGCATCATTCGGCGAAGGCATGTACAACTGGGGATAAGAGAATTCTTGACGCAAAAAGGCCGAATGAGCTTGGTCTGCGATGATCATCGTCCGAATTCAATCATATTTCTGAGGACTCGCTACCCTTCAATAAGCACTCACTTTGCTGAAGAGACCTTCCACAGACTGACAATTGCCGACCAACTCGGAATGTCTGTCAGAGCCTAGTACTCGAATCGTACAGAACAAGCGGAAGCTACTTTTCATCTTCAGATTCGACCCGTGTGCTCCAGGTAGTTTTTTCTCTTGAAGGAGCACGGTCAACAGAGTGATTACATCCGCTGTTGCGTAATCCAAATCCTCGAGGAGCAGCCAATGACCTTCTCTCAGGGCTCTCGTCAGCAAACCGGGATGCCATCTGAATTGTCCGGCGACCTCCGTGCAGCAGTAGGATCCAACGAGGGTCTGGAATCAAGCATCGACTGATCCGATTAGCGGAGATTCGTCTTCTGAGCGGAGAGCTCGTCTCGTTCGTATGCCGTTCTTCTCAGACACTGATCCGAGCGACGATCCGGCGTCCTACGAACCTTGCTGTCGACATGGTTGCCCAATTGAACCTTGAATAGCTTGTTCCGAGTCACGTTGGCGAGATGCTCGATCAATTTGGATTTACCAACGCCGACGGCACCGATGACGAGCACGGCCTTGTTAGAAACCACGCTCGAAGCCACTTCACGGAGGCAAGCTCGGAATGATGGGGTGTACACCGTCGATTCTGTGGACGCCGTCAGAGGGGGTTCGGTTCAAAGCACACTGATTGCCCCAATTAGGTACCTACGAGGTGATTCATGAGGGAGGAATATATACGGGTTTCGGAATGAGTAGGACCTACCTCCTTCTCGGAATGAGGTCGGAGAGGAATCCGCGCAAATCGTGACGCCTTCCACGTCTACGGTGTTACATCGTTCCGATAAGAGGACTTTCTGCACGAGTAATCTATTTTCGTTCCGCAATGACGAGCCGAAATCCCTTCTCAAGGCAGCGTCTCGATCCTCGCCGAAAATATGGAGGAGCCTCTCCCCTAAGTCCGCAGGGCTCATCTTACTGAAGTAGGCGAAGCAATGCGATGCGTACCTGAAGGAAAATACACAAGATTGAGTGATTTTGCACGACATTAAAATGGTCGTTATTGAATGGTAGTGCATTCTCTGATACTGACCACGTGAGCGGGAGCTCGTGTTTCCCATTCGCGAAACTATAGTCCCAGAGACTGCTATAGAACTCTGGATTACGACGGAGCAGCACTGCGGCTGACCGAAGGATGCGGAGGTCTTCTCCACGATCAGACGTCTTGAGTTTCTTGGGGAGCGGACCCGCATCTTGGAGAGGTGTCTTGTGAGACTTCAGGAATCTGTAAGCAGGGTCAATCGATGAATTATTCGCTCGGGCGGGATTAGGATGGTTCATCCCTGGAGGGGGTCGAAGCATGACTGAAGACGCGGGTCCACTTGCCTGTCGAGGAACGTCACGCCATGTGTGGCGAAATAGTTTTCAGCCCAGTATTCGACTTCTCCGGAGTCGATTTCTGCTAAGGCACATCCAAGAGCTGCATCGTGTGCGTTTCGGTGTTTCAATCTGTTCAAGAGGTCTATCAGGATGTCGGGGCATGTTAATGCGATATGCTGTGCGTGTCCTTCCACTAAAATACGCTGGGACAACTTCTCCGCCAGCTGAGCCTCATCCTGTAATCAGGAGGGAACTCGGGTGAAATTTCTCTCAATTTCAGCCACGCGTGAAAGTTCACAGGGTCTCTCTCCTGATATATTTTTTCGACATAAATGAGTTTATTGAGAATAAGGAGGGAAACATGGTGGGGCATGAATCGAACCATTCGGATGATAAGTTGAGATACAAAGTGAGCGCGCTCCCTCCCTCCCCCTTATCAAACCGACACGGACAAGTCATCTCGAAAAATTGTGAGAAGCGTCATTCAACTCGTCGTTACTTGTCGTCGCTTTAATTTCTTAGACCTATCACATCCCGAGGGAGTGCCGCCGGAAGGACCAGCTGCGCTCGTTTCCAGAAACCGAATGCCTGCCAAGTGTCCGTTCCTTGCTCGTCAGACCGGCATGCGTTCGAATCGCCGCTCGGCAAACTCACCGAGATATTGCGCACACTTCTCCAACACTCTTTGCAGACAGTGCGCAGAGTTTGCGAACGGACGCTCAGGTCCATTAGCTTAAGAGTTTCTCGATTTCGGACCCGAATCAATGGGAACTTTCAGCGAGAAAAACGAGAAAAAATACGGAAACTTGAGGTGTATGTGTCTGCTACGGCTCAGCTACAGCGCGGAAGCAATAGTCCGGTCCGTTCTAAACCAAAGCACGTGGTGCTGTTGTGGGGATGGCGGCGGGACTCATCATATGGTGGAAGAGAGAACAGATGACAAGCAGGGCCGCCTCCGTCCAGCGCTCGTTTGGAGGCCTTTAGAGTAGGGTCGCCCTGGGTGACAGCTCGTACTTACGTATTTTCACGGGCTAATCGCGGGAAAGACTCCGGAGATTTTTGGCGGCATACTCGCTCTAGCTCGCTGCGAGACAGTGGAATAAATATCGATCATTATCAGTGTCGGTCGTTCCCTTGGAGATTCGGGGCATGAGCTGGGAAAACCTGTCTCCCAGCTGAATCTTCGACGAAAAGTTCTTCATGAGCGGACGAGCGGACGACTGTCGTCCCGATTGAAGAGGAGGAAAGCCCCGGGAAGACCGAGGAGTGATGTCCAGAGCTTTCTCCTCAAGATTCCCCCTCGGAGAATCCCCATGATAGGGTTGGCGCATAGGTTTGACCTCGCGAGTCCTCAAGCTCTGCAGCTCACGTGATGGATCGAAGACTCTCGGCTTTGGTCTGGATTGACGAAATCTGGACTCGAGGCATCACGGATAGAATTCGGGACTTGAATCGAAGACTCTTCCGTGACCTTCCTTCAGGATTCCCTCCCGGTATGCGGGTGTCATTTTCCGATGGAGACTCAGAACTCCGGATTCGATGGCAGAATGGACGGGGTACGGTCATTCCATCACCGATGGAGTCCGGACTCGTTTTTATCACAACCCCGGAGACGTTATCACGAAATGACCGCGTCAAGCAGAGATCATCATCGCCGCGCTACTCAGATTCGATAATACGGGAGATATTCCAGGCAGTGTATTGAGCGCCTTTCTTCGCAACCAAGGATCTCCTAATCTCTCAAGAACACGGATACCTATCAGACTGTGGCAACAGACTTCACATCCGCTCCTTGGTTCTGTTCTCCTGATTTGTTCTTGTTGGCGCTCCGCGTTTCGCGGCTGTCAATGAGAGAGGATCAAGCACCGGGAATGTCTTCTTACGACTTGGGAGCGGGATTTTGAGCCGAGAGACTCTAAGGTAGAGTGAACATTCCAGAATCGGGCTATCATCTGCGGAATCCCGCAGTTTCTGACAAATCATACCTCTCACTCTGAAATCATGGATTATTGAGAGTGTGCCTCCTTTGTCTTCGTGCTGAGACATCGACACTTGTTGCCCGACCTGAGTGCGTTCTTCAGGGGGGATATGAAAGGTCCACGAAGGGAGGATTGACTCCAATTCTCGAATGAGGCAGAGCTTTGACTTGGGAGCGATTTTTACCCGCATGGATTTGATCTCCGAAATCGAAACTCCACTTGATTCCCATTTTCCACAGTACGCGCCAATTTCAACCCGTTTGTCTCGAAGATACAAGTCAGCGCGCATCGCCTCTTCTTGAAATGTCCTTCAAATGTCATATGCGACTGTACTCCACGCTCAAACGGTTAGTCCAACCATAGGTCGAGACCTCGCCGGCTCTGACGCTCTGACCCACCGCACCCAGGAATCACGAGTCAGCGGCAGATTCGAGACTTCTGCGGAGGGGGGTGCGCACGGATCTCGGAGCTTGATGTGGCAGCCCGAAAGAGAGGGCAAGAGACATCGACTCCCCCATCGATTCACACCTACCAACAATACGTTCAGTCGAACACTATCTTCTTTCTCGTCTTCGTTATCTCTTAGGGTTCCTTCTCATCAGGTATCCGAAGTTCGTGAGGATCGTCGAGGTTGGGCCGAGAGATGGCCTCCAAAACGAGAAGCAAATCGTGCCCACAGATGTGAAAATCCAGTTCGTGAACTTGTTGTCCAAAACAGGCCTGAAGTGCATCGAGACGACCGCTTTCGTTTCGCCGAAATGGGTTCCCCAGATGAGCGATAGTAGCGAAGTCTTCAAGGTGATCTCCACGACCTGAGCGAAAATTTCAAGATGAGCATGGGGCACAGCTCGGCTCTGTTCACCCTCTGCGTTGGATTGCTCGGGCGGCTGCGACTTCAGCAGCGATGAAAATGCGGGACAGAGACCGAATTTGCGAACTGCTGCTTTCAGGGGATCGATAAAATCGACGGAGTCAGTTATCCTGTTCTTGTGCCGAATGTTCAGGGCTTGCAATCATCCCTGCAGGTAGGCCTTCCACGGCTGAATATTCCAACGGCTCTCGCCACTTGGACTCAGAGCAGGCCTCCTCGAAACGAAAAGATTTTTTTCCGCAGGCTGGCGTGAGGGAGATCGCAGCTTTCGGGGCTGCATCAGAAGCCTTCTCGAAGAAAAATATAAATTGTTCGATTGCCGAATCTTTGAAGAGGATCGAGACCGTGATCGAAGAAGCAAAGAAACACGACCTCCGAGTGAGTTAAATACAAAGGAAAAAAACTGTAATTCTTTCCAAGATGTGTCATTGCACCATTTTCTCATCCGGAATACCATGGAAGTTCCCTTCTCGAAATCAGCCTTGTCTAGACGCTCCTCCTCCTTGAGAAGAAGTCGGCATGCCCGCATCGCAGATGGGAGCAAAACCTGTGATCTCCACCGAATACCATTCGGGAATAATATCTCAATTTTTGAAGATACGGGGATACGTGAGCTGTGTCGTTGGCTGCCCTTACGAGGGAGCGATCGATCCGAAAAAAGTCGCGGGCGTGGCGAAAGTTCTTTACGATATGGGCTGTTACGAAATTTCTCTGGGAGACACTATCGGCGTCGGCACGCCTGGTTCCACGTCTCGGATGCTGGAGGAAGTACTTAAGGTGAGTCCGAGGCCTCGCTCCTAGCCTCTGAGCTCTAAACGAAAAGGGGAATGAGGAAATGCCCCTCACGATATTCTGTCGATCGTCAGGTCCTTCCCCCGGCGGTACTCGCACTCCACTGCCACGATACGTATGGTCAAGCTCTCGCGAATATTCTGACGGGTTTGGAATACGATATATCGACGCTCGACGCCTCTGTCAGTGGTGAGTTCTATGTTCCCATGTGTATCTCCGTTTGGATTCCGCTGCACGGACGCGAGTCGACCAACCAGATTCTAAGCGAGATGATCGACTTCCAGGTTTGGGAGGCTGCCCATATGCTGCTGGAGCTTCTGGGAATGTTGCGACGGAAGATGTCGTCTACATGTTGGATGGCTTAGGGGTCTCGACCGGGGTCGATCTGATCAAGCTGATTAAAGCTGGTCGGTTCATCTGCTCAAAAATCAATCGGGTCAATGGCAGCAAAGTCAATCGTGCGCTGGAAAAGCCGGAGTGCCAAGAATGATCGACTACCTAGTCTGAATACGTAGGCGAATATGACCGTCTTTCCCAGAGTGTTGTGATTTCGCAACTCATCGAAGTAATAAATGCGATATCCGAATAGAAATTGAAGTGCGGCTGTCTCGGGTAGGGTCGGTAGCTTCCGGACGCTGTGGAAGTGGAACCCCCACATTCCGTCAGAATTTTCCAATCCATCCGACCAGGTGGCACCATTGAGTAGCATCTCAGCCTCTCCAATCCGGAGAGAAACTCCTCTTCACGCTCGAGAAAAGGCTCCCGGAGGATTTCCATTGTCTCTGGGATAGGACACGGACGGCTTCCGTGGGCCTATTCATTCAAATTGCGCGCTTCGGCGGAGCGGGTTCCGAGAGCGTGAGAATGTAAATAATGGCGATGATGATCTTCATCGATACACACGTGGTTGCCGTGTTTTGGTTTCGCGCGAGAAGAGTAGGAGAGCTCAAACTCTGAGGTGGAGGAATTGGGTCCTCAATGATTCAGAAAGAATTTGAATCATGACCGTGGCAACGTCCAACGACATCTTCCGAGGCCATAGGGCGCTCGGCCTCGTGTGCAACTCAATCCCGTTCGTCCTGAAATTCCAACAGCAGAGGAAAGAATATCTGATATTCACAGCTGTCGGTCGGCACTTCCATGCCTACGGGGTGAGTAAGAACTCTGGGATGTTCGGAGTCTATCATCTGCTTTCTGACATGAGAATTCGGGATCAGAGAACTTCCGAGTTCCACCCCTCCCTCAATCGGTCCATCGCAGTCAGAGCGACCAAGATCGATCACTTCACTCCATCTCGTTTTGAAGTTTCTCGCGGAACTCTGACTGAGTCCCATCAAATCAGAAATCAATTTTTATTCTCTAGGGGACTAGACTGAATCTGCTCTCCATCTCACCTCTTCACGACGATGAAATCTCTGCACTCGCTTGTGACTCGAGACGGGTGTATTCCGCTGCTGGCGGGAAAATTTTCTCATGGAAGAAGGGTGTTGAGGTACGTCTGAGCTGATTTCCCGTGCGGCGTTCGTACAACCATGAGTGGAACATCGGACATAGATCCCGCTTCCCTGAAGGAATTGGGCGGACGAGACGATATGATGTCGACGAGGAAAGCATTGAAATATCTTGACTTCGATTATATGAATGACAGAAATTGATCGATTTTCGGACAGCTCAAACAATCATATATTGGCCAACACGAAACCCGAATCAAATTCCTTCTGCCGTTTGGAGATCATCTGCTTTCTGCTGATGAGTCAGGGAAGGTCGTCGTGTGGAACAAAGAAGATTCAGAGGTATCACCGGAAGGAGTTTCGGAAAATCTCCATTGATTCAGACTGTCCCCCGAGTTTTTATCTCCTCTCAGCTACAGTCCTTGAAGATTCTCAAGTTTCGCCCCTCTCGCCCAGGTGTACACAACGCTCGAACTCGACTCGATCGGAGGAATCTCTGTCATGATGCACCCCAACACTTACGTGAATAAAATCCTCTTCGCCTCGAACCAGGGATTGATGCAACTTTGGAATATTGCCTCCAACAAACTCGTATATGAATTTAAGAAATTCAAAGGTGTGTACTCGTGGATCTAGGAATCGATCGACGGCTGATTTGTCGGAGCTCAGATCAGATTCCGGTCGAATGCAGGCAAGCCCCCGTGAAAGGATCTAATTCATCTTTTCGTTCTGGTGTGTATCAGGAGAGCAGATCACAGCATTGGAACAGTCCCCCGCCGTGGACGTTGCGGGGATCGGGTTCGCGAGCGGAAAAATTATCCTCCACAATTTGAAGTTGGACGAAACGATCCTCGACTTCGTGCAGGATTGGGGTCCTGTGACCGCTGTCTCCTTCAGGTTAGATCCGATTTCTGACGTCCTCTGAGCGACGAAGATTCTGTAATGCATCACCCTGTAGTCACGGGTGATTATTCCAGGAGCCACGGCCCTGCTCACATGGCGACGGCGAGCCCTTCGGGACACATGGCGATCTGGGATCTCGAAGAACAGAAGCTTCACTCGCAGCTGTTCGAAGCTCATCAGAACAAGATCACCCGTCTGCAGTATTTGAACAATGAGCCGCTCCTCATCTCTTCCGGCTCCGATAACGCGTTGAGAATGTGGATTTTCGACATGGCGGATGGCGGCGGCCGGATGCTCAAAGTCCGGGAGGTGAGATATAAATTCACCTCGATCCACTTTCCTAGGAGTCAGAATCTGATTCGAGAGAGCTGGCTTGCGTGGTGTCACGGCCGTTGTTTTTCGTTCAGGGACACGCTCATCCGCCGCGACGAGTACGCTTCTACGACATACACGGAAAACAAATACTCTCCGGAGGAGGCGATTCGACCTTGAAATCGTTCTCTACAGTCCACGACGCCTACAATAGAAATTTCGGCTGCGCCACCTACAGCAAGAAGTCTCTGAAAAGGGCGAAGACGACGGAATCGAAAGAAGTAAGGAAGACGGTCCCGCAGTTTTCTCCACATCGGTAGTCCCCAGAACGATTCCCGTAAAACAATTCTTCTTGTTTTCCGTCTAGCTCCTGAGATTCCCTCCCGTCATCGATATCGCATCGGAGGTGACACGTGAAAAACAATGGGATTCCGTCGTGACTGTTCATCAGGATATGCGACTCGTACAAACGTGGTCTGCCGACAAGGGATCACTCGGAAAGCATAAGCTAATTCATGAGAGGTGGGCCAGATCAAGACTCGTGTGACCGCACCGCGTAACCTCATCCGTTGCATATTCATTTCGACTTTCCGTATACTGACACTTGCAACTATCCGCAGATTTTTTAAAGATAATCGATATCACAAGGCCATAGCTTCGTGTGCAGCGGTATCGTCGTGCGGGAACTTCGCGATCATAGGATACAGCTCTGGCCACCTGGATCGTTTCAATTTGCAGAGCGGACAGCACAGAGAGAGCTACGGGCCGGATGGTTTGGCTCATCGAGGACAGGTAGAGTCTCGGGATCTCCGGAACTGATCGCATTCGGCATAATTCTTGAGGAGTTAACAATCAGGGATAACGTCATCGGTAGCATCATCCAGAATACTTTTCCCCATAGATTCGTTTCGTCGGGTCGGACTGCCTCAATCAATTTGTGATATCAGCTGGGGCGGACGGCCTGGTGAACTTCTGGAGTTTCAAAAAGCACACATCGAAGCCCATCTCGAGTCTGACCTTGGATTCGTCCTGCTCCATGGGCCATCTACACAGGTGAGCAGATTGAATCGAGCCATCGCTGCGCGAACGATAGAGAGACGAAGGTTTCGCGAATCTGACAGTCTTCTGTTTGCAGGGAGAGCGGGATGCTGGCGCTGGGATTAGACGATTTTTCTGTGGTCATAGTCGACCTCTCTGTGCGTCGAGTCGTTAGGAAGTTCACAACGGTCAAGGCGCCGATCTCGGACCTCGCCTTCAGTCCTGACGCCAGATGGCTTATCGGGTCCACCATGGATTCCGTCGTCAGAACATGGGATCTACCAACAGGTGAGGCGCGTCCAAATATTACACCCGTCTATGGTCACCCGGAAAATTCCCTTCCGGGACGAAAAAAATTGGTCCGGCGTATACGGTTTCATTTTTCTTCAGGACACCTGATCTCTGCGTTCCGGACCCCGTCTCCGGTCAGTTCCTTATGTTTCTCACCGACGGGTGACTTTCTGGCGACGGCATTGGCCGATAATGTGGGGATCTACCTTTGGGCGAACACAACGATATACGATGCGGTGAGCCTGACGCCCCTGAAAGCGGACTTCATCCCGAAACAGGAGGAGAAGCTGCCTTCATCGCGCATCGATAAGGGTCTGGAAGATGAAGAAGATGGGGTGAGTACCGTCAAGCGTTCCCCGGAATTGCTACGCTATACTCTATCCCTCGAAAGCGAGGGAGAGAGGGGGTATAGACTGACGTTTTTTCTCGAATCATTCGCCAACCATCCTCGAATCCACAGGAGCTCGCAGACGACGATGAAAACATTGAGGACGCAGCGGAGGAGCGAACGCTGTCTCAGAACAAAGAGAACTCCGACCTGGTGTTACTGAGCGACCTGCCCGTATCTCGGTGGTTGAATCTACTGAATATGGACGTCATCCGGATGAGGAACAAACCCCAAGAGGCGGTCAAGAAACCCGAAGCCGCGCCGTTCTTCTTGCCGACTGTACAGGGACTGGAGTTCAAGTTCCTGGTGGAAGAGGATGCAGACGGCGAGAAGTCGTCGAAAGTCGTGAAAACCTCCGCCTCCAGGAGTTATTCAGCATTCGCAAACTTTCTCTTACGGTGTTCAGAGACCAACAACTGTGAGTCATTTTCGACGGACCCCCTCCGTTTGAATAGGGGAGAACTCAGAGATTCTGAGATTATTGACTAGAGCTGGAGTAATTGAATGCGGTCCCTTTTTCAGATGCTCCTGTCATGGATAGACTGAAACAGCTCGGACCGTCGGTCATCGAATTGGAGATCCGTTCTCTGTCCGAAGAGAACGGAGGCTCGTTGGAGCTCATGGCTGCCTTCCTGGAGGCAATGGAAGCCGCTCTGCGTACGAAGAAAGACTACGAGTTGGTCAATTCCTACCTGGCCTTGTTTATGAAACTGCACACCCCTGTCGTCCTCGACAATGACGGTATGAATCACCATCCATAGCTATCGAGTCCTCCGCGTGATGCCGATGCGGCTCCGGAGAATGCGAGTCCGACGTGAATCGGACTATGCGGGGCTATCGGCTGAATATTGAATCAAATATTTACATCCATAATTGAGCTTAGGCGGCGAAGTTCCATTCTCGATTTTATTTTTCGTTCATCAGGGCATTCTCTTCGCATGCTCCTCACGGAAAAACACTATCCTTTCATTCCAGATATTTGCGAGCGGCTCCAACTGGTGATGGAGGCTCAGAACGACTCCTACGAAGGTTTGAAGAAGCTTTTCTCTCAAAGTTTGTGCGTTGTCAACTACTTGAGGAGCGCTGTTCTATGAGGATGATTCGATGATATTGACTGTACATTAAGCTTCCAATAAAGATTAGCGCGCGAATCACACCGTGCATGGAATTTGCGATACTCCCGCGACCATGGTATCTGTGGAATTGTCGAGGGAGGAGCAGGAATATCAGGTGGGTCGTCTCCGATCTGCTGATTTCCGAATTGAGTTCACCGATCGTGATTCCCAATGGTCATCTTGAGGCGCGGAGGGGAATGAGTGAAGTTCATCGAAGATCTTAAGAGTTCGATGATTCGGCCCCGAACGCGCCCCTTTCCCGAGAACATCCTCATAATTTCTTCCAGGAGCCGTCCTCGAGGACGTGAATAAGACTGATTGGTGTAAGAATGTCGATGAGTTTCGATTCCGGAAAGCTTGCCCGTCATTGGAGTGGCGAGGTCCAAGCAGAGATATCCCTGCCCAGATTCGAGAGAGAACTTCCGAGGAAGTACTCCCTCCAGCTCCTTTGTTTCACCTGATGGAGCGGGCTTCAGGTTCAGCTTTCCAGTTGCCCTTGCTGCTGCGCAGAATGCCTTCCCCTACAGCAGTCTCCACTAGTGGGAAGTTCTCGCAGCACTTTCGTCGTAAAAGTCCTTCGGAAATCCGCTGTTCGCTCTCGACCCCTGAGATGGAAGCTCATTCCCGGAGATTACTGAGGAATTCAACCCGGAGGTGAGGGACTTTTCTGACCAAAGAGGAGTCTCCGACGCCAAAGTTTCGACAATATTCTCGTTTATTATAAGAAAACCAATCCGAAAATGAAAGGCGCAGCCACTGCGCTCGGGGAATCTGCGCAAGATCGCGACAGGCAAGGACTGCAATCAGTCGTCAGTCGAGAGCTATCGACTCTTGTAGATACAGACGCCTTTGTTGGAACTTCCTCAGAATGATCCTTCCCGTGGGTCTATATCTACACGATGAACCTTAGGATGAACGATCCGAGGTATTATCATTTCAGATATTTGCTAAATTCTCGGTGAGCATCATTCAATTTTCGGTCGGCTCCGTGCTGAGGAGTGTTGAGCTCCCGTCCACGATGGCGGTTCGTATATCGGTCAGGTATTGATACGCAGCTATTGAAAAAACTCCGAAACCTAATAGTATCACGCCCTTCAGAGCACACTTGCGCCACGATGATTCCTCCAGTCTCCGAAAGGATTTGCGCATTCCGGAACTTCTGGCTTTGGTTTTCGACCGTCTGAGCGGCCTCGGCCTCGCTCGCGTTTTCAGCTTCTCGCGCAGCTCAGACCTATCGCGGGATCTTGGCTTTCCACTCGGCCTTGACGTGTCGCGCGATTTCGACTGCTCGCGAGGCAGGCAGTTAACACGCGGAGCTGACTCGACTGGCTTTTTGAGGATCTGCGGCAAGGGCTCGACGGACTCCAAATCTGTACATGTTGCACTTGATTCAATTACTTTCGCTCGCGCCGTGAGTGACGTCAAGGATGAGGTCTCGATGGTGGACTCCGATCCCAGGGGTGTGTGGTTTTCACTAAAGAAAATGGGTCATGATGAAAGAATCGCTATCACTAGCTAAACATCGCATGGAATTCAAGCGTGATCAATGCAGGCCCAAACGAGCGAAAATCGTCTCCCCTCATCGAAAATCGGGATATCGGGAAGAAGAGTCGAAGATGAGATATACTCACCAATCGATGTTGAGCCCAACGGTCCCGTCTCTGTCCGCGCTATCTTCATCATCGTCAGCTGAGACATTTATCTTGACCGAATTCGTTTTCCTCGATAACTTGCGCTTCGGCGATCCCATCGAGGCGAATGGAAACGCATCAGTGGTACATGCTGGGAATCTCGTTGTCCATGTCCTTGCGGCTGACCGAGTCGGGCAGAAATGCTATGAGAAAGATTCAGTCCGGAAATCTATGGTCACATTCACGGCATCCTCGTGCATCATAATCCTTGGGAAGCAGCGACGAGCCGCCCATGTGACGCAGCTTGTTCAGAATCGCACTGGCCTCCGTTTGAGGGGGAACTTCTTGTCCCGATTACGCGGAATCGATTATTCGTTGGAGATCGACTAAGCTCAAGAGTTTCTCTGAAACTATAGCCCTGAGATCCTCAGAGAGATTTAATATCACTTCCGTGAATGCTGCATGATGAGCTTGATTGATGAAGAATGATTGAGGTAAGGAAAGGGACGAAGACAGCCTCGGACTCTAGAACTTGCTGCTCGTCGAGTTTCGATTGGGAAAGTAAACAGCGCATCGAGGTCGAGTCCTGACCTAGACTTCTAGCCCTCTGGGATAACCACTCAGCGAGGGAGACTGTAGGCTGCATGGCCCCAACGCTCCAACAATTTGCTACGGCCGGGGTTTACCGAAACGATTCAGTCAACTGAGAGCCTCCCCTCTAGTGACCGTCCACGGACGTGTCGAAGTCATTTTTCTACTTCATCTTCGGCTTTCCTTGGTGTTGTTGTGCCAAGGCTTGCCTTGACCTCGATTCGGAAGTCCCTCGAGGGAACATTTACTCGAGATGCGACCCATGGCCGCACTCCTATTCCAAACGTCCGGTCCCTGCACGGCAGGCTCACTGTTGCAGCACCGGCTAGCCAATAGACGTCGACGCGGCTCGGTCGAAGGGCTATAACTGGCCACAGCCTCAGGAGTGGAGAAAGTATTTGGGAGAGCAAGCATACTTTTCCCACTTGTCTCTCCGCAAAAACCTTTCCCGCTAAAATACAATAGCTCCGGAGAATCCAACTCTCTGGCCTTGAACGTTCGGGCGGACTCTAAAATACAGAATCGGCTCGTTTTGTTGACAGCGTCCATCTCGTATCCGCGCTGTGCTCAGAGGAACTTTATCACAGTGCTCTGTTTATCTGATCGTTGCTGATTCCCGATCCCAACCCCTTATTCGACTACCCAGTGATGATGACGGTCGCGGTTCGGAGAACTTCGGAATTGAATGAGCAGGGCACACTGTCGGCCTCTGTTGAACTTCCGACACCAGAACGAAACTCCGAGCCTCGAGGCGTCATCGAGTTTGTTCCGCAAGCGAGCCTCTGCCCCGACCATTGGCGATCGACTCGTGCTCACTGAAGGGGGTTCGCAAATACATCCGGAAGAATATCGGCGACTCTCATTCGAGTGAGCGATCGCGGGGATGGCCGGACGAATAAGCGATGAGGACGCTCAATAGACCGATCGTGCGAGTCGGCGACACCTTGCAGCCTTGACCTAGCGACCGTCCGCATACGGAGGGCAGCTCCGGATATAGAGGCCGATAGCAATAAAGAATCTGCGCGCTCACTGTCGTGAGCTCAATGGCCGGGAACGATTTCATTACTTCTGAAAAAGGTCAGTTAGCCTAAAGGCGACCTATCGGAAGGATATCAATGCCAGCGAGCGTCGCGTCTGACGGCCGCACTCCTTTCCTTTCTTAATGAGCAGAAGTCGTCAGGAAAGGGTTTACGGGTTTCATTTTTTAGAGGTGCTCAAACTTTTTATTGCATATGGCTCCGGCCTCTTTCGCGGCCTTCCGATCCGCTTTCTGGAATTGAAGAAGAATTTATGCAGATTTATGTCGGATTCGCTTCGAATGATCGCATTGAAAGAAGGGATGCGAAGCGATTCTGTACTCACGTCCACCTCCCTCAGGAATTCGCCGAACTACAAAAATGGAATCGATAGAGTTAATTAGCACTCATGGATTAGCTCCGTCGATCATCCATATCCCGAGAAGTTCGAGATGGAATCCGCCGTGATACCGGGTTCCTGGATCCCAAATCCCATCCCATGGTCCCAGCCCGGGGGTTCTCATGGTCACGAATCCGAATTCAAGGTCTGCGTGCGAGGTTATCCGTTCTTCCCAGGGAAGACTTACCAGCATCGCGCCCTCGTTCTTGTTCGCTCTGCACACCAGAAGGAAAACGTCGGTTGGCGTCAGCCCCGGGACACCACAGATTCTTTTCCGAGCCCGTTCCGCTGCCTGCGAGATCATGATAGGTCCCATAAGCCACCCGTGTACGAGAAACTCTTATGTGTTGTCAGAGACTTTGCGTAAGCCTTCTTAAGACCGAACTCACTTTCGGAGGAAAACTCTCGAAGATACAATCTGCGAACGGCTGCGCGAACTCCGGGCCGTGAGCTGCAAAGGAGAACGGATCCAGAGGAGAGCATTGAAGAGGCGTCGCAGGTGGCTGATACGACCCCCTTCCCGGAAGGCTTCGACTTCTGACCCTACCCGGCGATTTTCATGAATAATCGAACGGATACTGTCTTGAAATACCCACCACATGTATTGAATGAAACGACCAAGTCATCAGCATCATCGGCACCGGTCACTCGACTCCCGATCATAAGCAGTCCGAGCACCCCGAACAAGCCGTATGACATGGCGGTCGCTGTTTTCCGAAAACTTCAAATGACCAATTGGACGCTATGGGAAATTTCAGCGAACTCCCTACTGTCATCGTTTAAATTAACTGAGTAAACTTTTCAAATCTCGTCTGACCTTTCTCGTTTTTCTATATCGAAAAACGGGGAGCAGCTCCGCGAGCTCGCAGATGAAAACACCGTGAGTTGTCAGCCTTCACTGGAAAGTCAAACATACAGGAGAACCTCGTTGAAGAGGACTTGGAGGGATCGGCCGAAATGGTCCAATTTAACCGGACTCCCATCCATGGGGAGATGGCCTCTCAAATCGGTGCGGAGCATAAAAATAGTCGGAAACGCCGCTGCAGCTTTTCTCACCGCGCGCATAATTATATTATAGATAGTCCTCCAGACGGATTGAGCGGTGCAGCCTCTCCAAGCGCTCTCGGCGCTGAGATAAGGTGGAATGATCTCGAAAACTTATCGATCGTCGTCGGACAAATTGATTTCATTCCGCTTTCGGTTTTCTTGAATGACTCTCTAAAACTTGGGGGCCTCTTCCACGATACCTGTATCTCTCCGATTCTTTATCACTCCGTCCATTCCGACAACGAACGTCTGCCAATGATCGGTCGCTTCAGTGAGCGATGACGTTTCTCAATAGATCGGCGAGCCGACGACGACACCCCGGAACCTTGACCTACCGACCGGCCGCC